TTTTTTAAATTATTTTTTTATTTTCTTGAAAAGGACAAAAAAGAATATGGGACTAGAGGAGGAAAGTGAAGTATATCCATGCAGTGAATATGACTGGTGGCATAAAAAAGCTTAATTCATACATTTATGGAGATAATCTGATGTGGAATTATCTGATGGTCTTTTAAAGATCACATTATCTAATGGTAATGTGGAAGCACATTTTTACATTAATGGAGGAATGTGTAGAGTATGTTCTGCATATCGTGCAAACTTTTAACTTCCAAGGTCAGTTTTGCCTTTGTGAGGCAGTAGGGAATAGGGTAAATAAGTATTAATAATGCTATTGCATATTAGCAAATAGATGTGGCATATGTAAGATACTAAACTTTTGAATGTTTTATTTCACATTGACATATATGTGAATGTTTTCTTAATTAAAATGTAACCTGGAAACTCAGTTTCTAGGGATCGGCTTCACCCGTGGTGCTTTGTCTTGTGCTGCAAGTTCTTTAATGTGTTTTCATTTATTATTTTCTTTTAATTATTCTTTGAAATTGGTTTATGTAGCTATGGTTTATTTTTTGTAATTATTCAAAAAGTTCTGCTACTAACCAGGATTCTTTCATACTTCATGTGTTTGGACTCTGGAAGGGTTGAAAGAGAGCAGATTGGTGAGTAAATGGAGTGACTTGTACTTGTTGGAATGCTGTTCTTTTTATATGTTCTTCCTTACTTTCAGAAATGGATGAATAATTAGCTCAAACCTGGGACAGACAACTGGTGACAGGAAAATAATAAATCTGTCTTGATTAGCTTAAACAAGAAATATGGGGATTGTGTTGATTCTTTGGGATTTATGGGTTGGGTGTTTTTCTGCTGGGATAAAACCTCTGTGATCTAGTTAAGAGAATGTTTGTATGCTCCTAAAGCTGGTGAATCAACCAGCAAACTCCAGCCAACCATAGAGCACCACCATCACTTACACTGGAGTCTTATTTTTATATGACAGTTATTTATGATGTTTTATAATGTACAAATAGATGTAAGTTTTTATCTACAAGTTGTAATCAAGCCCTAATGGCAGAGAGGTTGCAATGCCCTTGTGTTGCTGGATCTGAGAACTGGCAGAACTTTGCTGTGAAATGTTGGTCCAGGCAAATTTTCTTGGGCTTTTCATTCCAAAACGTTATGTTTTTAAATAAGTTATTTAGTGCAGATTTTATGACCAAGAAAAAAGGAGCTGGATATCTTATTTTATTTTTAAATAGATGGAGTATGAGTTAAGAAAATTGTGGATAATACAACCAAGAAGAATTAGAGAATGAAACTGCAGTGGGAAGTGGTGTGTCTCAGACTGCTGTCTGAGGTGAAGCCTTTGGAGACCCCTTGGTGTGCAGGCTCCAGGGTTGGTGCTTTGCAATTAATTCTCTTCCCTCCCCACTGAGAGACAGGGAAGAAGAAGGTGTTTATGAACATGAGCAGCAAACAGCCCTTAGCACCAAGAAATACTTGTAGTAGCATCCAGTGCACCATTCTGAAAAGGTGAAGAGCAGTCCTTTACCATTTAAAATCAGTGATTTAAAAATAGAGTTATTATGTTATAAGTGTAAAACCAGGTTTTATTTTGCTTAGAGTGTCTAGAAGAACCCTTATACCTGTCTTTTGACCTCCATTGATAGGCAGGGAAGCTACTATGAATGCCTTAAGTATTGCTTAGATTTTAACTCGGGTTGTTCTGCACATACAAAATTTTTGTTGCATCATTTCTTTGGTTTATATGTTGGTAGAGAATTTTGTTTTCTCTGAGGCACTGTACTTTCTTGCTATTCCCAAAGATCCATTTTTAAGGAATGAAAACTTTCTCTGTCATAGCATCTGGAGTCATTATTCCATTCCAATTATGCTGGCATTAAACTAATTGCTGATTAGCAGGTATAATAAGCAAATGCAACTGCCAGTGTAACAGAAAACAGTTGGGGGTTTGTTTGCCTGTTTTTATAGCACTGATAAAAATCCCATTTCACAATGAAAAGTTAATGAGTATGACTGTTCTTCATTATGTGGTATTACTAGGTGCTAAAGACATGGCTTCTTAGCATGTTTGAGTTTGTAATATTAGAACTTGCTGACATCTTGGTGTGAGATCAGAACCAAGATACAGCAGGCCAGGTTGGAGGTGAAAATTTATTGGAAATTCCCAGCATTTCTTATTTGCTTACACAAACTGAACACTCAGGCAGGGGCTTCCCTGCTGATTTTACCAGGAACTTGAGTTACCAGACTTAGGAAGATGAATTTAGGAAAGGTGATTACTCTCTTGAACAACAGGCTTTACTTTAGTGTAAAGTGTGAAGTGCAGATGGCCATTCGTGGTTGCTTGATTGTTCTGTGGGATTTAGTAGAAGCAGAGCCCATTTTGTGCTGTATTTATAAAGAAAGACCTCCTGAAGGCTGGAATGTGTTCCTCCAACACCCATAATAGAATGTTTATCTTTCAGTAAGATGTCACTGTATTTGCTTTCAGGAAGGAATGACCAAAGGCTTGCTTGACTTACAAAGGTAGGTGTATAATGCCATTTCCAGTAGATGGCAATAGTTATTTGAATCTGAAATTCTTTGTTAAAAGATCTCTGGGGCCAGCTGCTTACAGAGAAGCTGAGTGCAGCTGCTGTCCCCTGGAGCTTTTTATTGGAATGCCAGTGCTGCCCCAGCCGCCCCTCTGGGCTCCCAGCTGGCACCCCTGCCCCTTTCCCAGGGGACAGGGCTGGCCCCAGCAGTGCAGCCACCTCCCCTGCACTGCAGGCAAGTGCCAGGGCAGAGCAGGGACTGAGAGGTGCTCAGGGACAGAAAATACATAACTCTGCTTTTTACAGAAAACTATCTGGCGCCCACATGGCAGGAATATTGCTGCTCCTGCCCCCCATCCAGCCTGAAATTAAATTTTCTCAGTCCTCCTCCACCTCCCCAGAGCCTACTTGCTCCTTCAGTTGAAAGGATGAAGTGGGTCAAGAGCGAGGAAACTTGAGTTTTCTCAGCTTCAAAGCAGCTGAGCTGCCCTTTTCCCAGCAGCATCCTAAGCTTGCTCTTTCTGACAACTCCTAAACTTTAGTCTGGAACTGATGGTGCCCTGAGGAGCTGTTGAAAAACTTAACAGAATGAAAATATTTGCCTCTGGGCATACTTATTGGGCAGGTATTGGTGTCTGTGGATGTTGTGTAACACATAAACAGCCAGGCTGGAGATACTTGCAGTGCAGGACACACATCTAAGAAATTCAGTGTGTCTCAAATGTATCATTTTATTAAGTGCAGGCAGATACTTGATGTAGCTAGATCTGTGTTGGGGAGAAGTGGCTAAACACCTTAAAACTCATCAAAATGCTTTTTGGGTGGGAAAAAGATGCATTTGGGGAAAACTATGCAGCCAGTCTGTATACAGTAATTGAAATGAGAGGGCACAACATTGGAGACTCCTGCCTTCCCTCCCTGGGGGAATACCCTTCTCCAGATAGTTTAAAAAAGCTGCTTACATCAGGCAATGTCCTAAACTGCTGTATGATTATTTAGGAGAGCACAGAAAGTATTAAATAATTCTCAGCCAATTTTCATGAAGATTGATACCTTAAATACTTCATGGCTTTTTGTTCCTGCAGCTGTGTTCTCAGTACACTCATAAAGTCCCTCCTAACCTATAACAGATTGTAGGACATTGGATTTTCAGCTGCCTGTGTAATGTCTTCTCAACTAAAAGAAGTCAGCTGGAAGCTGCAGGGTTTTTTTTCTCAGCCCTACCTGAGGCTCCTGTTAATTGGTACAGTCACATGTAGTGTTTACTTTTACATGTAAAGATTGAAAATGTTGCACTGGCAGCAGTGTCCTTGAGAGGACAAGTACCAAGGTGCCTGGGGAATCCTTTGGCAAAGGTGATGTGCTTTTGAAAATACAAAGTCTTTGTTTTAAACACACAAATTTAAGCTGTTCAATTATGCCAGTGTATTTTGTCAGCTGCCCTGAGACTGATTCCAGGGGCAGTTGGGAGCACAAGAAGCACCCAGGGGATGTTTGCTGGGTAGCCAAGCCCTTAGGGCTCCACAGTGGGGCAGTGCAAAGGACCAGGGCATCCATCAGTGCCAGATGAGACCTGGGTGCTTCTATTTGCAAATCCAGCGTCTCCTACACAAGTCTCATCCCACCAGCCAGCTGCAGCTAAAATAAAACAGAGACACATTACCAGTGAAACAGTGTTTAATATAGTTAAATTACTTAAATAGATTTCAATTTCCATGGGAAATCATAACTGTATCCATTTTTGCAAGATCCAGAGTAAAGAGTGTGTGAATACCCCTTGAAATGATCATGACACACTGTCAACAATCACAGCTAGAGATACTGGGGACTTGAAATTTCATTGACAACACAACTTCATAAGGTGAATCAAAAGTTAAGAAGACTGCAGACTTTTGAAAGCAGAAAGCAAACCTAAAATCAAGTGTATGGCATGAAGGAAATGAAACTCAGTGAGGGATAAAGGGGATGGAAGGTGGAGGAGGGGAGAAAGGCATAACACCGTGATGCAACTTAAGTTTATTTTGCAAACCAGGAAAGATGTAAAGGAGCAAAAGTATAGTACAAGGGCAGACTTGGCAGTTTTACAGAAGTCAATATACTATACTTTTCAGAGATGTTTCCTAGTGGAAGGGAGAAGGAAAGGGGAGATGCCATTTAAGCTCATGTTTAAATGGCTTAGTGCTTGGGTCATGCTTAGCAATAGAGCAAATTAATTAAGACAGGTCTATGGATTTTCACTTATTCTCATTGTCGAGTAGGAAAAAGAAATCGCCACCACCATAGTGCAATCATTATGCTGTGAGTACTACAATAATTCTGCCCTGAGAAGAGTGGAAAAGAAGTTTATTAAATGTCAAAAGATTGGAGTAATTTTTAATGCTAGCCAAATTCAATATCAAAACTT